CAGGGTCATACAATTAGTAAGTGTCAAGTGTCTGAGGTCTCAGGTTCTCCTGACTCCAGGACTGGTGCTCTATCCACTGTACCACTTAGCTGCCCCAATGGTTCACTTTTGTTTTTACATCTTGAGAGCTTAGCACAGCATGCCTGGCACATAGCTTAATAAACGCCTATTGACCGACGGATTGACTTGTGGAGAACATGTGTAGTAGAGTGATAAAGACAGAGGTCAAATTTCAAAGAGCTTAAGAAGAATGTACATATAGATGGTAAAGAAATGGAGGCATCAAGCATAGGCTACTTCATCTAGAAAGCTGGTAGAGGGAAGAGACACAGACTGGTAGCTTAAGGGAGCAGGAGAGTAGAGAGAGGTTTTTTTTTTAAATTAAGGTAGTAGAGATTTAAGAATATTTATAAATGAGGGAAGGAACTATCACAGTCAAAGCCACAGGGCATTCTCAACATTTCTCCTGTGTTCTCTGTGGCATGGCAAGTAAAAATACTGCTTTATTTTCAAAACATATTACACTGTTTTTCATAATTAAAAAAATGAAATTATAAAGAGCTGATTTGAAACAGGAAACACCTGGTTTTTTTATTTAGTGCTGAGGGACTAAACATAATCATTTCATTTTCTTAATTTACATAGAAAAATCCCACCTTCCATTTCATCTTCAATGTAAGCTTTATTAAACTAGAGATTGTGATGATTCATTGTCAAGTCTTGTCAGTTCATCTGTTTTTCTCATACCCAGGTTCATTCTTTCCAGAGAAGTTGGGAGATTTACAGTTAGAGAGTATGGTGGGAAATAAGAGTGCCATTCATTAAGTGAGAGTGCCATGGAAGCATGCAGGCAAAACAACCTAGTGCCCATCAAGATGCTGGGCACAAAATTAATATTTAAATGAACTGAATCCCTTACTTCCACTAAATTTTACAAAACTGAGAAAGGTCAGGTAATATATTCTACAACAAAATCAAAATCCTAAAAAAAATCTTGATGGGTTGAAATGACTGAATTCTATTAAGATGAAATTTGTTAGGAATAAACATAAAGAATTACATTTGATTTAAAAATATTAATTACACAAGTATAGGAATGGATACTTTTGGCCCAACAGCAGATTATTTAAAAAAAGACCTGAGGATCCATCCATTCCTATAAAAACACTAGAAAACAGGAATAAATGGACCCTTTCTTAAAATAAGTAGTATTTATCTAAAACCAAGAGTAAGCATCATTTGTAATGGGATAAACTTGAAGCTTTCCCAGTAAAATCAGGGGTGAAGCAAGGATGTCCATTGTCACCATTATTATTCAAGATTGTACTAGAAATACTAGTTATAAGATAAGAAGAAATTGAAGGAATAAAATAGGCAATGAGGGAACAAAACCATCACTCTTTGTAGATGATATGATGCTATATTTAGAGAACCCTAGAAAATCAACTCAAAAAACTAGTTGAAACTATTAACAACTTCAGGAAAGTTGCAGGATATAAAATAAACTCACATAAATCATCAGCATTTCTATATACTACCAGTAAAGTCCAGCAGCAAGAAATAGAAAGAGAAATTCCATTTAAATAACTTCAGACAATATAAAATACTGGGTAGTCTACATGCCAAGAGAAATCCAGGGATTACATGAACACAATCATAAAATGTTTTTTATAACAAATAAAAGCAGATCTAAATGGTAGGTTGAGCCAATCCATAGCAATCACAGTACCAAAGAATTATTTTATGGAGCTGGAAAAAATAATAACAAAATTCATCTGGAAGAACAAAAAGGCAAGAATATCAAAAGAATGAATGAAAAAAATGTGAATGAAGGCATTCTAGCAGTTCCATATCTCAAACTACATTACAAAGAATAATCATCAAAATAGTCTAATACTAGCTAAGAAATGGAATGGAATAGATTAGGTACATAATACATAGGGGTAAATAACCATAGTAATCTAGTGTTTGATAAAGCCAAAGATCTAAGTTTTGGGGACAAGAATTCACTATTCAACAAAAATTTTTGGGAAAACTGGAAAGCAGTTTGGCAGAAACTAGGCACAGAACAATATTCACATCATATACAAAGACAAGATCAAAATGAATAAATGATTTAGACATAAGGATGATATAAAAGTAAATTAGGGGAGCATGGAAATATGTACCTGTCATATCTATGGATAAGGGAAGAGTTTATGATCAAATGAGATAGAAAGGATCATGGGAAGTAAAATAGATTCTTTTAATTACATGAAATTAATTTGGAAAAAATTTACAGAAAGTTTCTTTAATAAAGGCCTCATTTCTCAAATATATAAAGAACTGAGTTAAATTGATAAAAATAAGAACCATTTCCCACTTGATAAATGGCCAAAGAATGTGAACAAGCAATTTTCAGAAGGAAAACAGGCTCTAAATCACTACTTATTAAAGAAATAAAAATTTAAACAACTCTGAGGAACCACCTCATACCTATCAGATTGGTTAATATGACAGAAAAGGTACATGACAAATGCTGGAGGGTATGTGGAAAAATTGGGACACTAATACACTGTTGGTAGACTTGCAAACTAGTCTGACCATTCTGGAGAGCAATCTGGAACTATGCCCAAAGAGCTATAAAACTGTATATAACCTTTGACCCAGCAATACATCTACCAGGTCTGTATCCCAAAGAGATCAAAGAAAAGGAGAAAGGACTTATTTATACAAAAATACTTTATAGTAGCTCTTTTTGTGATGACAAAAAATTGGGGAATGTATGAATAAGTTGTAGTATATGATTGTGATAGAATACTATTGTGCTATAAGAAATGACTAGCAAGATAGTTTAAAAAAAGCCTGGGAAGACATGAATTCATGAAAAGTGAAGTGAGCAGAACCAGGAGAACATTGTATGCAGTAACAGCAATATTGTAAGGATGATTAGCTGTGAAAGACTTAGCAGCTCTGATTAAGACAATGATCCAAGACATTGCCAAAGGGCCCATGATGAAAAATGCTATCCACGGCCAGAGAGAGAACTGGTGAACTCTGAATATAGATTAAAGCATACCCTTTTTCACTTTTTTATTTTTCTTGTTTTATTTTTGGTCTGTGTTTTCTTTTTTAATATGACTAATGGAAATGTTTTGCATGATTTCACATCTATTATCAATATAAATTCTTTTTTGCCTTCTCAAGAAGGGAGGGGGGACAGCGGTAAGGGGAAGAAAAAGAATTTGGAACCCAAAATTAAAAAAAAAAAAGATTGTTAAAATTCTTTTACATAGGAGAGGTTTAGTGGATTGTAAGCTCAATGAATAAATAGTGCAGGGGCAGCTAGGTGGCATAGTGGATAGAGCACCCTCCCTGAAGTCAGGAGGACCTGAGTTCAAATCCCGGCCTCAGCCCAAACACTTGACACTTACTAGCTGTGTGACCCTGGACAAGTCACTTAACCCCAATTGCCTAAAAAGAAAGGAAAAAAATGAGTTAAGTAATGCAATGTGTCAGTCAAAAAAAAAAACCAAACGTAATGTGAACTTCAGTTGTATTAATAAAATTCTATTGTTCAGAAAGACAGAGCTGTTAGTTCAGTGGTCTTGTCCCCTATTTAGAATTTATCTGGAATACTGTTCTAAGCATTATATTTTAAGAGGGACTTCCACAAAATGGATTGGATTCAGAGGAAGGCAACTATGAAGGTGAAGATATTTGAAAACATATCCTGGAAGAAATGGGGACTATTTAGATTTCAGGGGTGACATGGTGACTGTTTTCAAATATTTGAAGCTTAGGTAAGAGAAGGATCTGCTTGGATTCAGAAAACAGAACCTGGATATTATAGGGAGCCAGTTTTTTGGGTTAATATTAGAAATGACTTCATAACCATTATAAAACTGTTCAAAAATAGAATGGGTAGTGTGGCTGTGGTGTGTTCCTAGCCTGGCCAGATAAAAGAAGAAGGTTTAGATAATGGTGGTGGAGTGGAAAGAGTACTGAATTTTGAGTCAGCTAGAAACCTGGGTGAGCTCTTTATCAATGCTGTGACCTTTGGTGGTTTACTTCTCCTCTTGGGCCTCAGTTTCTTAATCTGCAAAACGAGAGCGTTGGACTTTTAAGGTCCTTTGTATCCCTGAATGTGTGTTGCTATGACCCTTTGGGATATTGCAGGGGGATTTATATCTCGTATTAGCAAGACCTGTGTACTCTTTTCCTAAGCAGATGTTTAGAATGTAATGCCTGGAACTAAATACAGTATTCCAGATGAGGTCTAAGCATCTTTAGTTGCTTAGGCAAAGAGTACACACACACACACACACACACACACACACACACACACACACACACACACACACACACACGCAGAGCTCTTCCTTTATTTCCTAGAGGCATAAAGTATTGGTATTATTAATAATATGTAATAGCATTACAATCTCCCTTTCACGGCACGTTCCTACCTTTCACAAACCTTAGTCTAAAATTCTTCCCAGTGCCAAATCTAAATTCTTGCTAGCGTTTAAACTTACTGCCTGTTCTATCCTAAATGTTGATTACTGTCGATCGATCTCGACATCCTACATATTGATACCCTTGTATACACAGTCCGACTATGAGTGCCCCTATTCAGTTTTCTCCTTTGTCCGGAGACTTAAATATTCTGAAGTTCAGAGGGCCAGGCCAGGATCCCCAAACGCAGAAGAAGTGTGAATAAAAACACCCGTGCTTTGAGGTCCCTGGGTTAAAAACACAAAGTCCAAGGGTAGCCGCTGTTCCCGACCCTGTCGGCGCACAGGGCTTTGGGGGCTGCAGAGGGCGCTGTTCGCTCGTCTCCAGCCTTCTGGCTGCAGCCGGCAGCGAGCCGCGGGCACCGCTGGGTGGCTGGAGGCGCCCTCTGCTTTCCGTGCTTGCAGCAGCAGCAGCAGCAGCGGCCGCTGCCGCGGTGTGGGGGTGTGCGCGCCTCCCGCTCCCTCCCGCTCGCTCCCCAAGCTGTAAGGGAGGGCAGTAAATCTGGAGCGAGAGACACCGGCTCCGCCGCACGTTTCCAGGCGCCGGCTTCACAGCCGCCGCCTCCACTTCTACCGCTGCTTCTCTTTGTCCGGGGAAAGGAAGGAGGGAGGGAAGAAGGGAGGAGGAGTTGCTGCTGCTGCTGCTGCGGCACCAGGTGCATCCTCGGAGCCCTCCATCACCCTGCGCCCCTTCCCCCGCGCTCTGCGCCGCGCGCTTGGAGACCCGGGTCGGGCGGCCGCAGCTTCCTCGGGTGGGTACCCGCGGACAGGTGAGTCCTGGGGGGGAAGTCCAGCTGAGGCTAAGGCGGCTGCGAGATTTGCTGCTGCCTCCGCGCGGCATCTGCAAGTGGGATGCGTGGGAGGTGTTTGGCGGTGACAGTTGTTTGGAAGTGCAGTCCAGGTGTGGCTCCATTCCTTTCCCTTTCCCGGCTCACCCCTCCTTTCCTGTACCGCTTGGCAAGTTCATTCAGCCTTGGCACCTGGGATGACCCTTTTCCCCGCCTAAAGCTTTGGACCCTCAGCAGGACCCCGAGCCTCCTTCCAGCCCCCAACTACTAGAAAACACTTGAAGATGGGGGTCCGGCACCTCGCTTGTGGCTATAGCCTAATTAAGTGTAGCCGTGTGCTTAGTTTTGGGCATCTTCCTTGCTTCCTTCTGGAATTGCTAAGACTAGGGTAACCGATTGGGGGTCTTCTGTGCCGTGTCTTTATTTTTGGCCCTGGCTCCCACGTTCATGGGTGTGGGAGGGAGCAGAGTTTAGAGCATAGGGGACGTTTCCCATCCTCCTCACCCTCCCACCCCGAAATAAGGCATCCTCTCCCTTCCCCCTTGCTAGAAGAATTGCCCTTTGCAACCCGCATGAAGATAATTGAGATGCAGGAGCTATTTGATTCCCTCTTGAACAGTGTTGGGCAATGGCAGAGCACGTATGGCTATATGGCGCATACACGTGCTGACTGTTTGGGTAACACAAGGATCTGCTAGGGGAGGGATAGGTTAGTTCCAGGACTGAAGCGTCCTCCCGGCCTGGCATGTTTTGGTCTGCCGTCATACCATTAGCGTGCTAATTCCTTTGAACTTTATGAGACCTGTTTTATTTTTCTAACATACGATTTAGCTTGGAGGATATGCACAGAAGGGATTTCTGGCACATGGAAGTGATGGTACTACCATTCTATTTTAAATACAAACGGGGAATAAGTGAGTCTGGCAGGATAACAGAAGAAACCCATACTCACTGTTATGCAAGTACGTTTAAAAATACCTGCTCATTGGTTAGAATGGAAAGTGATCACTAAGGCCTCTAGGGGGAAGCTGAGAGAGAAGCTAAGGACATTTCATCCTCAAAACAAAGGCGTACCAGAAGGGGTGAGCACGTCTAGCTTGAGGTCCTTTCTTAAGATGATATAGGACGCTTTTAGACGGCATTTCAAGCGTGGGAGGAATACCTGGGGTGCAAAGCAGATAACGCTGCAGAGCGTTTAGGAGAATTAAATGAAACAGGAATTGTTTGGCAAACTGCAAAGTCGGGTAGGAATTATGTGACTGTTAACATGATGGTGGTGGAAACAGAATTCAGAACTTACTAGGTTTTCAAAATTTTTTGATAACTTTTATTTTAGAGGCTATTTTTGGAAATTTAGTGATATTCATTGCCAGTCAAAGTAACTCAACTAAAACTGGATTCAGTTAAAAGTAGGGCTTTCTGGTTACCTTTTCAGCTTCTAATGAGGTATTTTGCTGACATAGTAAGGCTGAACTTCTAGACAATGAGATAGAAACCCCACAAGCCACACACTTGCACAGTCCCTCTCTGAATTATATGTCGTCAGGCAAAAGATAACAGGCATTACCGGGACCAGCCCCATTGCAAGGGATTGTTTAGTGACTTGCAATAATCAGGAGAACACGTATTCAACAGGTGATATTTGGCAAAAGGCAACAGATAAGATACACAGCAAACTGTATTATCACTAATTGTAGGTTTGTGTGAATCAGATTTTTCTTTTACTTTGTGTAATAGATTTCACTTTGGTTACTATGTCCCAACCCCAGTTTTGACTAAGGTGGTCAGAAGCAAGGAAAAATATAAAAATAAAATGGAAAGGTATATCTTAATATAATTTTTTGGGGGATCCCAGACCTGTGAGTTCATTGTTATAGGGAATTCCCAGTGAGGAAACCCTACCTATTAACACAACTCAACACCTACTCTATGACTTAGAGACTTAATTGCCTGGAGGTTACTGAGAGGTTAAGTGATTTATCAGGTTTGACACAGCTAGTTTGTGTCAGAGATGCAGTGACTTGAACTCAGGCCTCCTTACTCAGGAGCTGCTATGCTTTTCAGTAGTAATTAAAGATGGGTAAAGTAAAGTTTAGCAAAGGAGAATTGACAAATTGTTTCATATATTTTTATGTAGTCTTTTTGGAAGTAAGTATATTAGATCTTTTATTTTTCAATGAATTGTATATACTTGTGGCTTGTAATTCTTTCTAGCATTCAGGATCTGGCTTTTAAAACCCAGAATAAGCCGTATCCCTATTTTAATTTTTGGAGACATCAGTGACAGATTAGACAGCAGTGTCATTATTTTTATCTGCTTACAAAATAACAAAACCTAAGCATTTCATCACTTTCTCTTATCAAATACAAAACTGTTGCTTTTGACATAAAATAGCACAGACAATTGAGTGGGGTACAAAAAAGCTTCTTTTGTTTTAGAATTTTTGTCTAACATACTTCTAGATTTAGATATTTTGTGTCAGGTTTCAGAAAATAAGATATTTTATGTGGAGTATTACATAAAAGGTGCGATTGGGTTGAAGGTATTTTATGAAACTCAGGTTTGACAATTTCATAACTGCCAACAAACAAAATTATTAAAGTCAAAAGTAGGGAAACAAGGATGCCCCATATCAGTTGACCAGACCCAATCCAGTACTAAACTGCTGCTGCCGAGTTAGAGGACTATTTCTGGGAGTGGAGAGATAAGTACAGTGTTAACAACAATGGTTTCCAGTGTATGGTTCATGCGTCCAGGTTCTCAACAATGGTCTGAGGGGTTTGCATTAAAAAATTTTTTAATGATGCCCTAAGCACTAAATAATTGTGAAGAGTATTATGAGTAGTATATTAAGTTACTCTGGAGGTTCAAAACATTTTTTGTTGTTGTTGAAAGGGGTTCATGGAACAAAAAAATGTTGGGAATTACTGGTCTAGAGGATGACATAAGTATAGTCCCATTATGTGTATGAGCCCTTTCCTAAAGATTTTAATGCTGTTGTATAAAGCCTTTTGGGCTTTTGTGTCTGTCAGTTAAAATCATCAGGAAGAGCAATTTTAAAAATTGACTTTTTCTAATTTTGCTTTGGTGAGGCCAATCAGAAACCTGACCCAGATTGTCATTGACCTGGCTGAGAATGTTCAGACTGATAACAGATTCTAGGGCCCCGAAGAGCCAATGAAATCGAAATATAACATTGAGAACAAGATCATCAGCTCGTGATTTTACACTGAAAGTGACTTTTGTGTGAAGGTGAGTATTAGGGAAGCAGATATGAGTATTGGGGTGTGGAAATAATGTCGTTAGGGCTCTCCAGCATCTCAGAGACAGGTTAAAAAGGATTTCAGAAGAAAGGGAACTTAACCAAGTACCAAAAGTACACTAGAAGATGCTTGAATTTTCTCTGTCCTTAAATAATAAAAAAATTGACTTTTTGGGACTTTTTTTGAGACTTAAGAAAACTCTGAGACTTACTATCTTAGAAATGTTCTCTAAAAGAGTTTTTTTTCTAAAAAGAATTTTAAAGACTACAGCAAACACCCCTTTCAAATCCAGAAAGTTTTCTGTAGGGAACCATTGCCATTTGAACATAGACAAGGAGATATATTGGATCATTTTCATTTTCAATTTTTATGATTAAGTGGAACTTATTGTATCCATAGGTAACTGTTGTTGGTGGCAGTTTCATTTCATGCAAGTGGCACCGATTTCATAAATGTGTCTGCCAAATTTTCTCTTGCCATCTCTGCAGCACAGACTGTCAGTGCTAGAGAGATCCAGAGCTGCATCATAGAAGTCCTTTTTTTTACAAAGCTCATTTTATGATGCCACCCCCCTCTCCCCAAGTGAGGAATGACTCTAAACACTCTAGAATGGCTTCTGTCACAAGATGGGAGTTGGGATCCTGTGGGTCTTCCCATTAACTCAAGAAAGTTATGTCATGCCAGTTCCCAAGTTGGGAAACTTTTGGAATGGATGTGGAAATGATGGTTCTTCACTGAGTTTAAGTTTTAAAGGGAATTTGGACATTCCATTTCAGTATAGAATATCTGAAACCATCTTTGGAGCCGATCAGAACTTACTTTCCTGAGAAAGGGAATGTGGGAAATCAAGTCGAATCAAAAAGCATTTATTAAGTACCTATTATATGGCAGTCACTGTGCTAAATGCTGGGGGTACAAAGAAAAGCAAAAACCAGTCCCTGCTCTCAAGGAACTCACAGTCTAATGGAGTAGACAGTCTGTAAACAACTATGGAAGCTCCTCGAAGGCAGGGACTCTCTTTTGCATCTTTCTGTAGCCCTTAGCAGGTAACTAGCACATAGTAAGCACCTAATAAATTGAAGTAAATTGAATGTACAAACAAGGGGCCAGTTATCAAGTGCCTTAAAAGGCAAACAGATGATTTTTGTTGTTTGTTTTTGGTGATGCAGTCAGGGTTAAGTGACTTGCCCGATGTGACACAGCTAGTAAGTATCAAGTGTCTGAGGCTGGATTTGAACTGAGGTCCTGCGGACTCCAAGGCTGGAGCTCTATCCGCTATGCCACCTGGCTGCCCCCCCAAACAGCTCATTTCATATTGGGTCCTGGAGGTATAGGAAGGCACTGGAGTTTGCTGACTAGGGGAAAGGCACATGTACCCTTGAGGGTTCTCTGGGATGTCTTGGGCCTGGAACTAGGTAGTAAGATATCTTGAGATTTGAATCCATATCTGCCTGGCTGTCACGCAGCACATTAATCTCAATGCTAAACTGTCTCTCTTTTCCAACCTAAACAACCCCAGAATAATTTAAGCCCCAAATTAATCTTCGTATGGCATGAAATCAAGATCTTTCACTGTGCTGGTTGCTCTTCTCTGGCCAAACATGGTTCTGTAGATGTGATATGACCAGGACAAAGGGCAGCAGGACAATTGCTGCCCAACTCCTAGACACTATTTCTTGTTTAGTTCAGCCTAAGATTGGTTTCTTGGCTGCCAAACT